TCCATGGAGGGGTGAGACAGGGTGGGAACCAGGTGGCCCCGGAGTCTGTGAGATTGAGGATGAGGACGCAGTGTTAGAGCTGGTGGAGAGTGGGTGGGAGGCAGAAACTGCTGAGGGGCAGACGGTGAGTTAGGAGGCTGATGGCAGGACAGTGACGGGGGCATGGTGGTTGCTGGACATCGGGTCGGCCTCACTTCAGACAAGATCCATCCCAAGAGTTTGTGACAAGGAGAAGCCTTAACAGTGGGCTCACAGCCACATGGTCTCTCTCTCTCTCTCTCTCTCTCTCTGTGTGTGTGTGTGTGTGTGTGAGAGAGAGAGAGAGTCCAGCAGTCTATGGATCTACCAGAATGTGCTTTGGTTCTGACTTGAACATGACCCTTCTTGGAGAAACTGAGCGGCTCAGAGTATTAAGAGAAGTTTCCGATGCCATGTGTCCATGCTCTTGACTTTGACAAAGCCCCTGGACTGAGCAGGGAGCTCAGGGACCGGACTCAAGGACAGCCTCTTGCTTGTATGTCCCCGGGAAGTGTAGGTAATACATCCAAAGCACGTTGGATCAGAGACTGGATTCTGCAGTAACAGAGCAGTTTTATGAGAATACCGTGGCTTGATAAATGAAATGGCCAGAACAAGGATGCAGAAGGCTTGGTGCAAGTTCCGTTTGTTACCAGCTAGCCAGGTGCCCTCAGATTGATTCATCTGATCAGTTACAGTTTGTAAAGTGCAGCTCCCCAACCATGATGCCACCACAGCTGTGTCTCTTGCAGTAACACGGCCTTGGCACCAGGTGGCACCACATACAGGTGGTGGATGCTCACAGAATAGTTTTGTATCGAGGTAGCATATTTATGATAAGTTTTCCAGGAACATAAGACAGTCTTGGTGGAATGATGTTAAATGAAAAAGGAAGCTCTAAAACTATACCAATGATGTGATGTCATCCGTGTACAGAAACACACCAAAATGCTGGCCACAATCCCCTCAGATTGGTGAGGTTATGGGCAATTTTAGTTTTCCTGCTTTGCGGTTTTCTTTGTGAGGACAAAAATTATTGAAAAGGCAGCCCAAGTGGCTTGTAGGACTGGCACCATGCTCCGCCTTGGAGCAGACAACAACAGACCCTACTCTGGTGTACCTCATCCTGCACCTATTTTTTAAATTAATTTTTTTTCTCTTTTTAAAGAGCTTATTTATTTATTTGAAAGGCAGAGTTACAGAGAGGCAGAGGCAGACAGAGAGAGAGAGAGAGAGAGTCTTCCATCTACTTATTACTCCTCAAATGGCTGCAATGGCTGGAGCTGGGCCCATCAGAAGCCAGGAGCCAGGAGCTTCTTCTGGGTCTCCCATGCGGGTCCAGGGGCCCAAGCACATGGTCCATCTTTCCACTGCCTTCCCAGGCCACAGCTGAGAGCTGGATCGGAAGTGGAGCAGCTGGGACTAGAACCGGCATCCATATGGGATGCTGGTGCCACAGGTGGAGGCTTAGCCCACCACACCACAGCTCCAGCCTCTACATTATTTTTTTCTATTATGGGGTAGAAGAAAGTGTTCCACCTCCTCTTCTGTCTTGTAGGAGTGAATTTCATACGCAGCCCTCATTTACATACTCTCATTGGTTTTCTGGGTTCTGTCAAATCCTATTTTAATTCTTGGTCCTGGGTTAGAGAACGGCTGAGACTTGGACCCCAGGCAGAACTCAGGGCCTAGGTAGAATCAGATCAGGCATCAGGTAGAATGGGGCAGGATTTCAGCTGTTTTTCTCCTAGCAAATCGGGTAGGCCTTCTCACCATGCATTGTTTCCAGTTCTCAGCTGCAGCCAACGTCACTGTTCCTGCTTCTGCTTCTGGGGTCTCAGCTGATTGGCTACCTTATGGAGGCTCACTTCCTATACTTAAAGTCAGTTGATGATAGATGGACTCACATCTATAGCACGGCATGAACCGGAGTTTGACCAAACAGCCGGGCACCAAAGCCTGCCCAGGTTGATGCCGGAGATTAACCAGTGCAGCAACTGCCCAGCTTCTCACCGGCAGGAACTTGTCTGTCTGGTCGTCAGAGGTGGGCTGGGCTGGGTGCCCTCCTCGGTGTAGGAGCGCTGTGTTCCTACGCTGCTCCAGGGACCGCCCTCTGCAGGCGTCTCAGCCCCCTTATTAGAAGAGCAACTCCTGGCAGCGGTATTACACGTATTGATGTGTGTGCATGCGTCTGTTCTCTGCACACGTACAGTTTGTTTCTTTTTTCTTTTTTCTTTTTTTTTTTTTTTTTGACAGGCAGAGTGGACAGTGAGAGAGAGAGACAGAGAGAAAGGTCTTCCTTTTCCATTGGTTCACCCTCCAATGGCTGCCACTGTGGCCAGCACACCGCGCTGATCCGAAGCCAGGAGCCAGGTACTTCTCCTGGTCTCCCATGGGGTGCAGGGCCTAAGCACTTGGGCCATCCTCCACTGCACTCCCGGGCCACAGCAGAGAGCTGGCTTGGAAGAGGGGCAACTGGGACAGAATCCGGCGCCCCGACTGGGACTAGAACCCGGTGTGCCGGCGCCGCAGGAGGAGGATTAGCCTAGTGAGCTGCAGCGCCGGCCGTAGTTTGTTTCAATGAAGCCCGAGGCGCATCAAGAAGGGAACCAGGGGAGCTGATTCTCTAATCAATCTTCATCTTCCTTGTCGTGGACATGGCCTCTGTTTGCATGAAGCCATGCCCTCTCGGTCACTCAGAGCTAATGTGTTATAATCAGACTTTAGGAGCGATGAGGCAGTAATAGACAGAGTTTCTGAAAATGATGCCTCACTTTGCTCCTTAACTGAATTCTATTACAGCGGAGAGGGAATCGATATGACCTCCTGTTTTATCATCGCTTTTCTTCCACATGGGCAGCTGCTTAATAAAGCTGAGAGGTTCCACCCCACGGTGGACAGAAAGGCCGATGCTGTTTACCTGCCACCCGGGCCTCTGTCCTGTGCCACAGAGCACACCTTGGGCACGTGTAGGCGTGCATCTGCCCTCGTGATAAACCATTCGGTGCCCTGTAGGGTGGGATGGGTGCCACACTGGTGATCCAGTGGGTGCTGGGATCTGGCAGCCGTCTCCTAGATCTGGGACCTTCAGCAAGGCGGTGGGCTTCCTCCTGCCTCACCCTCCTCATCTCTGAGTGAAAATATGACAATCACTGCCTAAGACGGAAGGTGGTCACTAAGGGTTGCGGATGTGAGGACGAAGGGAAATGATACACGCACACTGATGATCACAGGAGAGCGCAATGCGTGGCAGCTACTTCTGTGACCGTGTTCTGCACCTCTGCTTTACTGTGACTTTTTGATGTCTGTTTTTCTATTTGCTCATCTGGAAGAGGGAGACAGAGGCCCTAATCTCTATGATCTCTCCCGCCATCAGAGCATCTGGATTAAGTGCTACAAGAAGAATGCATTGGGTGTGTTGGATGGGCGTCGATGGGGCGGGATCAGCGCAGGTGCCCGAGCCCAGTGTATGTGCCAAGGGCTTGCTGTGTTCCCCACAGTGCCTGCAGGAGCTCCAGGGTCACTGGTGCTCCCCTGGAAGCTGTGGCCAGTGTTGTTCACCCTCAGGGCAGAGGGAGAGGCCCTGAGACACACGCCCCTCACTCAAGGAGCTGCTCGGTGCCGAGCAGGGGAACGTGGCTGGGTCATGGTTTCCTTCCCACTGGTTGCCTGGAGTCTTGTGCCTGTTTTGCAACAGGTGTGATTTATAGTTTCCTCTCAGCTCAAGCTGGTTTCCATTCTGACCTTAGTAAGTGTTTGCAGTAAGTTTGCATCCAGGCCTTCTTTCTCTTCTGGCTTTGGGCTGACTAGGGGAGGACAAAGGCCGTGCTGTCAGATTTGAGTGAGATTGGTTCCCACCCAGGAACTTGGTTTGTCTTCCACACGGGCCATGGGCCCCCTGTTCTCTGTGTTTGGAGAGCAGTAAGGAGTGGTGCTAGACCTTGGAAGTTGTTCCTTTGCTGCTAATTATCATGCACGTTACACATGCATGAGAACCCCGGGCTTGCTCCCGCTGGCTGCACTGGGGGGTATTTTGTGACCAGGTCTGAATGGGTGGTCACTCACAGGCACTCACAGGCACTGTATCCAGAGCTGCCGGCTGTGGTCTCTCAGATGGTGCCGGTGGATTCCTGTAGAGTCGAGCGTTTCTTTTTCTTTTTCCTTATTCCTGCTTTCCTTTCATTTCACTTTCTTTGAGACATGCAAAAGCACGTGTGTGTGTGTGTGTGTGTGTGTGCATGCGCACACACACGCATCTGAAATGAGAATCTGGCAGCCTTCAGAATTTTCCAGCTCACGTTCATGTCCAAATTTGTAATTCAGAAAATCAGATGGTGTTTTGAAGCTGCCATTGATGGGCTTTGTTGATACTTCTCAACGTGTCTATTCCAATTCTCTCTGAGCCCAGTTGGCCAAAGAGCCCGGAGCCTGGCTTTCCCTGTGCAGAGATGCGGGTGCTGCCTTGCACAGTTTCAGAGTCTACCTAGGACTGGCATTCTCATCTGCATTTTTGCAAAACAGTATTGATTGCCGTTTAATTCATCACAGGCCACGGCTCTGTCACCGTTTTCGGTCTCCGAGGAAGATTTAGGAAGTCTGTAAACGTTAATGAATGCAGGCAAAATTACATTTTAATGACACCTTCTCGTAGCTGGTCTTTGAGTGGTGGATTTTATTGAAGTATTTCTGTGATAGAATGCCACTGCCAGTGTGGAAACCTCACTGGCTGCTTGTGACCCAACTCCCCTTTCATCAGTAGCTCGCTCTGCCATTTCAGCCTCCCGTGCTTGGGGGTACTTCACAGATCTGAGAAAAGAAAGAGAAGCAACACTGCTTAGGGGTAAGGAACCTTGGCTTGTTTTTATTTTTTTATTTATACCCCAAGCCTTAGACTATTAGTAATTCCTTATTTTCCAACAGGATTGGCCACTACTTTTAAATGTTAAAAAACTTCCGTGTTCTATTCCATTTATCTCCAACAGACCATATGGCTCTCAGAGCAGCCCAGAGCGTCCTGGGGGAGGAAACCAGCAATTCACTCCAGTCCTCAGCTCCATTTTCCCTTCATTTTCATGGAAACCGTAAGACTGTTTTCATGTTTCAGATCAAACCTGTTTCTGAGCGGAGCCATTACTTATCACTGTTCAGATTCCATCCGCGCCATCTGGTACCTTTCTTTCTTTCCATTTAGTTTTGAGGCACGCCACAGGAAAGCTGCTCCTTGACGTCTCTCACTTGGAGAAACTACAGACAGGGAATATGTCGGAAGCTTTAGATGTCGTGTTGTCAGTGGGTTTTGCATAAATAAGTCAGTGTGATTCAACTCAGTCTTGAAAAACCCAGCGTGGATTACCCCAAGTTAAAAGTCAATTTGAAAACTCCAAGAGTAAAAAAAAAAAAAAAAAAGAATCTGGAGGCTGGTGCTGTGGTGTAGCGGGTAAAGCCTCTGCGTGTGATGTTGGCATCCCAAGTGGGTGCGGGTTCAAATCCCGGCTGCTCCACTTCTGATCCAGCTCCCTGCTAATGCACCTGGGAAAGCAGCAGAGGAGGGCCCAAGTGCTTGGGCTCTGCACCCACACAAGAGACTGGAAAGAAGCTCCTGGCTCCTGGCTTAGGCCAGGCCCAGCCCAGGCTGTTGTAGCCATTTGGGGAGTGAATCACTAGATGAAATGTCTGTCTGTCTGTCTATCTCTCTCTCTGTAATGCTTTCAAATAAATAGAATACACCTTAAACATTTAAATAAAAAAGAATCTGATATTCATCTTTTTTTTTTTTTTTGACAGGCAGAGTGGACAGTGAGAGAGAGAGACAGAGAGAAAGGTCTTCCTTTTGCCGTTGGTTCACCCTCCAAATGGCCGCCACGGCTGGCGCAGTGCGGCTGGCGCACCATGCTGATCCGATGGCAGGAGCCAGGTGCTTCTCCTGGTCTCCCATGGGGTGCAGGGCCCCCACAGTGCTGGCCCCGAAAATAATATTTTTAAACATGGACTAGGATCACACTTACAAGGAAGAAATTTAATCTGTTGGATATTAGAATAATATCTTTAAGAATGATGAATAGGCAGGCACCGCAGCTTAATAGGCTAATCCTCCACCTAGCAGCGCTGGCACACCGGGTTCTAGTCCCAGTCGGGGCGCCGGATTCTGTCCCGGTTGCCCCTCTTCCAGGCCAGCTCTCTGCTGTGGCTTGGGAGAGCAGTGGAGAATGGCCCAAGTCCTTGGGCCCCTGCACCCGCATGGGAGACCTGGAATAGGCTCCTGGCTCCTGGCTTTGGATCAGGGCAGCTCTGGCCATTTGGCCATCTGGGGAGTGAACCAATGGATAGAAGACCTATCTCTCTCTCTCCCTCTCTCTCTCTGCCTCTGCTTCTCTGTAACTCTGCCTTTCAAATAAATAAATCTTTAAAAAATGTTATTTTCTCTGAGAAGCAGAGAGAGAGAGATGGAGGGAGAATGAAAGGCATAGATAGACAAAGCTCCAGTCTGTTGGTTCATCCCCTAAAAGCATTCAATGACTGGGACTGGGACAGAGAGAAGCCAGGGGCTGGAACTCATTCTTGGTCCCCCATGTGGGTGGCAGCGAGTCAGCAACTTGAGCCAGCCCCTGCCACTTCCCAGAGTGTGCGTTGGTAGGAAGCGGGTATTGCAAATAGAGTAGGGACTTGAACCCAGGCACTGTGGCGTGAGATGCAGGTATCCCAAATGGCGTCTTAATTTCTAGGCCCACGCCTGCCCTTCCAGTCAATATCTTGTCTGAGGTCTTGAGAGTAAATGATAGTGTATAACACATGTAGTAGTGTGTTTCCTGCTGGCAGTGTAACTGGTAAGTGGGTATAATGGTCTATTTTTATTCTGAAGCTTGAAATAAAGATTTGAACCACATGGGCTTCATGAGGTGTGGGAAGCACCAGTCCAGCAATGAACTTGAACCCAAATACTTCCCTATAGCAGCAGATGACATTGGCAGAGTTGGGTGTGATGCGTTTTCTGAAAAGCAGCAGGGAATTACAGTAAGATAATGGCTAGGATTATGGGATCTCTGGCAGAGATGGGTCACTCCGAGATGGCCGTGCTGAGACGCGGCAGGTCACGTCAACAGGGACGCGGCGGAGAGTGACACATAGGGGTAACAACAGCACCCCCAGCCAGAATTGAGCACCTTTCACAAAAGATACGCGGGCTGCACGTTTCACAGATAGTGCCACAGAGGAGAGGGGCAGGGGCCACTTTACTGGTGCGCTTATTTCTGGGAAGCCCGTTGGGAGCACAGTGAAGACTTTGTTCTCGTGACTCGTGTCCGTGACAGCCTGGTCTCCGTGGAGGGGAAGTACGTACATGTTGCGTCCAATCAAAATGCATCGAACTTTCTCTTCCTTTAGTTAAGAGCATCAGGCAGTTTTGCAATATGCTGATCTGATTGACTTTTGATGAAGAGAGAGCGATGCATGCTGGTCCCTCTGAAACAGTCCTGGGTTCCCCTCTCCCCAGAAAAAGACAATGTAAGATTTTATGTCCTGGAAATGAACGGATGTGACTCCGATGCCCCGACAGGTGAGAGGACCAAAGGTGACCCTGGGTCAGCCAGACCTAGTCAACCAAGGGCAGCTGTTTCTGTTGACGGAAGAGTCACAGTATCTTTCCTCTTCGCTTGTTTGCTCTCTGTCCTGTGCCGGTGTAGGGAAGGAAAGCAGTAGGCTTAGGAAGAGAGAACCCTTTCCTGTTCTTTGCTCACGTACTGTGGTGTTCAGACACACATGTGGGGGAAACTTACCGTCACGTGGCTTCTCGGCACGTAGGATTGGGCGTGTCAAGGGTCAGATCAGTTGCCAACGTGTAGGGCTTGCAGGAGCTGTTTGCTGGATACATGACAGAGGTAGTGGAAGAAATCTGACAGCTTCCTGTCAGACTGACACAGGAGAGATTTTCAGTGTCTGTGCCCTGGCACCGGAAAACCCTTCTCTTTCAGGGGTGGCCTTTGAAGTAATGACCACCACCTGCTTCGGGACTTGGGGATAATGCAGCCCTGGAACCTGAGCTGCCGAATGCGTTAAAGCGTTAGTTGCAGTCTTAGCAATCTCGTGGTGGTGAATATTGGCAAGGCAAAGTGAAGCAGGCTTGTTCATTGCACTGCTTGCCCTGAGCAGTCAGGCAGGTGGGTCACTTTAGTTGCACTGGGCAGTTCTGTGCTGACTGGCCCCTTGGCATGCAGGGGGAGATGAAGGTCTGTGTGAATCAACATCAACCCCTTAGGAACAGCCACTGGGAAGGAAATCGCCGACATGCAGCCGACTGTCCGCATGAATGATGCCTTCCGGTGCACTGATGGATGCTTTCTAAGTCCTGGGTTGGTACTTAAAGCTGGAAGGGAACGCTCATTCGCTACAGCATATATAGCATTCATAAAGCAGCCGCTTCCTACAATGGAGCCTGCCTGGCCTAAAGTGCTTTATGTCGATTCCCCCGCCCCCTGAAGTTTGTGCTGGCCTCTCACTGTAATATCAGAAAGCTGGGTGTGCGCATGGGTTATAGCTGGGCCGTCTCAGGAACCAGTTGCCAAGACGTACTCTTGCCTTAACCTGTAGGGTCAGTCCTGCCAGCAGAGCTGGGCCGTACTGTGTGTGTGCTAAGGGCGGTGTGGCAGTCGGGCACAGAAGCCAGGACCAGGCGGTCCCCGTGTCGCACCACAGTGAAGAGCCTCAGGAGGGGTCGTGTGAGCTGAGGCCACACAGCCACCATGTTCACTGGGGGAAAACCTTAACATCTTTGTTCAAACCTTAAAAGCTTTAAGTTATAAATGTAGAGAGGCTCTTTGACTTACAGTGATTTTTCTATTGAGATTATCGTAAGTTATAATACACTTAACACACCTAACTACTGAACATCATAGGTGGGCCAAGCTTTCCTTGAGTGTGATAACGCTTCTGTTCAGTTGTCAAGTCAGAAAATGTCAAGTCGAGGTGGCTGGCACCACGGCTCACTAGGCTAATCCTCCGCCTATGGCACCGGCACCCCGGGTTCTAGTCCCAGTCGGGGCGCCGGATTCTGTCCCGGTTGCTCCTCTTCCAGGCCAGCTCTCTGCTGTGGTCTGGGAGGGCAGTGGAGGATGGCCCAAGTGCTTGGGCCCTGCACCCCGTGGGAGACCAGGAGAAATACCTGGCAGTATGGGTTGAACCAACGGCAAAAGGAAGACCTTTCTTTCTGTCTCTCTCTCTCACTGTCCACTCTGCCTGTCAAAAAAAAAAAAAAAAAATAGTAAGTCGAGCCAAGTTTCAGTTGTGGAATGCTGAACCTTGGTAAGTTGTAGCAAGTTGGACCATGATACGTTGGGATGTCACTCTGGGGAAATGAAAAAGAGTGACACTCGGTACTGATTTTGTATGTTATGGCCTGAGAGTTAGAACTTTTGAGAGTTAGGGTTCCTTCAGTGTGCTTTGACTAGTGCCTGCTTCTTGTCTTGTACACTGTGAGAGGATCATCCTTTCCATGACTTGGGAACTGTCCTACCCCTTTCTAAGTCTGGATCCGCTTCCAGTGTTTTCCTATTCACTTTCAACATGGTGAAATGCCTCCGTGTATTCCTTTACTCGAAGATTGCTGGTGTTGTCTTCCTCCTTTCCCTCATAACCACTTCCCTTGTTAATGTGGACAAACCCCTAAGTTCCCAAGGAGACACATTTTTTATTAAAGATTTATTTATTTATTTGGAACACACACACACACACACACACAGAAATATATCTTCTGTCTCCTGGTTCACTCCCCAAATGGCCACAACAGCCAGGGGTGGGGCAGGCCAAAGCCAAGGGACAGGAGCTTCTTCTTAGTCTCCCACGTGGGTGCAGGGACCCAAGCACTTGGGCCATCTTCCACTGTGCTCCCAGGTACCTTAGCAGGGAGCTGGATAGGAAGTGGAGCAGCTGGGAATTGAACTGGTGCCATATGGGATTCCAGTGTCTCAGGCAGCACTGCTGCTCTTAGTGCAGACTGGAAACACATCTGACCGTGTCCGCTTTCCGTGGTCATCTCTCCTCTACAAGTACACCCCCATCGGCCTTCAATTCAGATTTCACTCCTAGCGTG